CCCCCCCCCCTCAAAAAAAAATAGTATAGGCAATTTCTTCAAGCCCTCCCAAAAGTAGCCCTCGATCCTTCTTCGACCTCCGCTCCATACTGGCTCTCGAAGTGCTCCCGGAGCGTCGCGAGCGCGCCCGCCTCGCTGCCGCAGAGCTCGACGTAGCCTCGAGGCCATGAGGTCAGCGGACTCGACTGGTAGGGGTCTTAGTAAGTAGAATAGCCTTTAAGGGTTCCTTTAAAAAGTTGTATAAGGCTACTATAAGGGTTTCGGGTTTAGGGGCGTTAATAGTATACTCTAGTTATAATAAGGAACCCCCAACTCTAATTATTAAGGCCCCTACCTTACACCTTGAGCCGTAAGCCTTGATACTGTTGATGGTATAAACCCTGCATTACTGTACCTTACGCACCGTAAACTATGGGAATTGTGGTCTGTTCCCTATTTTGGGTAATGCAGGATTTATATCATCAACCGCATGTAGAAGAACACCTTGGAGACCTTGTGTAGCCCAGGGGGTTGATCCTGTACGTTCTCGACCCGACACCCTGTGAAAGGCTCAGGGTCTCCGATGCCCTTTCGTCCCTCCAGAGACCCAAAGCCCCTGAATCAGACCTGCTCTATCCTTTAGAGATCCCTTCACAGTTTCAGGCACATTCCATACAACACCAAAACCTGGTTTGAAACCCAAAAGCGTTCCTGACTTACGGGAGTTTTGGAGTCTCTAGGCTGCCTGCTCTGTGTTGATGCATTTAGCGCTCAGGAATCACAATAAAAGCACAGCTCGCTCTGAACATTCGCGCGCCTGCCGATCGAAGCTCGACCATGACGTGGGTGCTGACCAAATTCCTGGCCCAGTTGGATGAGTAGGGTCTTTAGAATTGGCTCTTGCTTCCTTTTGACTAGCGCTTCCAGGGCTTTAAACCATCAAAGGCTCTGATTGCAGAACTCGGCAAGTAAGAATGCTACTCATGGAAACACGCTTAGGTACTTACAAGGCAATCTCGAAGAAGAACTGCTTATTCAGTTTGTGAAGCCAATGTGACTTTTGTGTATATCCCAAATCCGGGATGTCGCCCCCAGTGTTGAAGCAGTATTATACAACTTGACAGAAAGGGTGAAATGAAACTATTGTGGAGCCTGGCACCACCCTGCAAGATATCATGATGTGAATCCTAGATCATAGAATCGCAATGCTCTTTGCACAAGGGGAAGAGTGCTGCTTCTCAAGTCTGTCGGTGCATCTCCCCGTCGGGGTACCCAAAGGATGATCCTTGAAGTAGAATAGGGCTTTGGTGTACATAATAATCTGATCCGACTACATAAGTGCCACAACAGAGTTACACCTGACTAATCCTATACTAGGCATTACTAGCCCTCCATCTCGCAAGCCGGGCTGCATCGGGTGAGGCGCTTTGAAAATGATCTGCTGCTCGCGGACCTCGCCCTGCGAGACACAAATAATACAAGGGCCTGAGTAGCTGGAACAGGTTTTGGGGTACAAGTAACTTCCAAAGGAAGGAGCCCGAAATGACAGTGTTGCACATTATTCAGGCTTCTATATTCAGCGGTGATAGCAGGGTTTGGGGCTCAGGGACAGGGTGTAGGGTTAAGGGTTCAGGAAGGCAGAAATCATCGTCGTCGATTCGTCGATGCTTTATGTCATCCAGGTCATGCGGAGGCAGTGTTCGCAACAGACATGAC